TTATTGTCACATCTAAATATATGTACATACAAGCAACACTAAATGTAGTTTGTGTATATTTATAATATATTCATGAATGTAAAAATAATAAGAGATCATGAATCTGAGGAGTTGGAGAGGAATTGGAATGAGATGAGGGCACAGTAGAAATATGTAAACAGGGTGTAATTATGGATGTAGTTGTATAAAAATAAAATTTACTTAGCTAACTTAGTAAATAAATAAATAGCTTATTTTAACATGCTCCGAATTTTGATTCCACAAGCTTTAGTTCACACATATGACTCTGTTTGAGCCTCAAATTTGCAATATTTGAGATGGTTGAAATGATTCTTCCAACAGTATTATCTTGAAGTTCCACTCCTGATTCATCCTGGTTGCTTAGTGACTGGTGTCTACTGCAATGAATGCAATTCGGACACCGTTTAGTGTAAGGAAAGGCAAGTGCAGAGGGTTGTTCACTCACTCACTCACTACCTAGCATATACACCTAATTCCAGGGCAGTGAACTGTTTCAATAGCATTAAAGTTCACCATCCTACCACTACATATAAATGGATACACATGGACACTCCTTACCACAGGAAGAATGATTTATATCAAGAGCTTTGACAAGTGTTCATCTAACAAGACCATCTACTTTCCTTGTGGAATTCTTTTATTATTTGCTTGAGTTGGAAATGTTTTCTAGCTCAGTTATAATTTTGAAAGACACTTCTTCATTGTGATTGTATATTTGTTCTGGAGGTGTGTAAGCTCCGATTATTTTTACCTTGCCTTTGTTGAAGTGAACGTTTGTGATGATTTAGACCTGACTAACAGAAAAGGGTTAAAAACATAGAAGAGTGTGGTAGTCTGAATATTAATGTCCCCATAGGCTCATATATTTGGATGCTTGATCGTTTTAGGGAGAGGCTTGACAGGGATTAGGTAGTGTGGCCTTATTGGATGAAGTGTGTCACTGAGGGTGGGCTTTGAGGTTTTAAATGTTCAAGCCTAGTGCACCTCTCTCTTCCTGTTTCCTGCCAGTCTGGATGTAGTTACTCAGTTACCTCTCCAACACCAATCTGCCTGTGTACCATCATGCTTCATTCCATGATGATAATGGACTAATCCTCTGAACTGTAAGCAAGCCTATATGAGAGGTTTTACTTATGAGCTACCATGTTCCTGGTGTCTTGTCACAGAAGTAGAAACCCTAAGATAAGGAGCAAGAATATTGATTTGTACTTACTGCCTTCCCCACACTGCTGGTTTATGGTGCATTTATTTTTAGTTTTGAGTACTATGCAAATTCATAATTTGATGATTTGAGACATATGCAAAATGGTATGTTAAAGAAGCTGACCTGAACATATACCAGTTCAAGGCAGCTATAAAATGTTCAGTGTCCCCAAAGTTTCAGTGGTGGGAAGATGAGTAAGCATAACATAAAGAAGGGGTTTTAGGGCAATAAAACATTTTTGTATAATATTAAAATGTTTGACAGATGTTATTATGAATTTGACAAAATCCATTTAATATGCAACACAGGGTGAATCCTGACGTAAACTTAGTTTGAGCTTTGCCGGCGGTGTGAATGTAGATTTGGTGACTCCTGCTCCAAGGATTCTTGAAGACCACACGAGAAGCCCATGCACCCGTTTCCTTTCTGTTTTGTTGCTTCCTCAGAAATGATATTATCACACCGTTGGAGTCATTATTTTAATGTTCAAATTCCATGTTCTGATGTAGAAACAGTAAAGTATCCCAACTGAAGACTGTTGTGGTCCTAAGGGATTCCTAAAGCAAACTGCAAGTTTCTCAGAAGATCCTAGAAACATCTTCAGTTTATCATTCCGTGAGGATAGCAATCACTTTAGGGTCAGAAAAGACTAGCACAAGCTGAATAACTTTTGTGTCACAGATTAGAATTAGTTGTTCCCAAAGTCCAGCTGCAAATGCACAGAGCTCTCCCATTCCCAAGAATTAGTGCAGAGGACACACTGCAAACCGAGTTACGGCTGAGGAGAACAAAACGATGCTTTTACTGTTGGTGTGTGTGGTTGCTGTGATTCTTGAGTTTAAAGAACACTATATATTTCTAAAATTTAGAATTTCCAAAACAAAAAATAATTTCTGTGGAGAAAAAAAATAAGGACCAAGAAACAACCCAGCAGGAAATTTATGAGCACTTGGTTCTTCTAAGCGCACTCCTGGTGTGGGTGTAAAGTGAAGTGTTGGTACTCTGGAATGTGTGACCCATTCTCACACTGATGTTATGGGCATTCAGGAAATGAAGCCACAGCATCAATAAAATACTAACATCAATTAAAATATAATACCTACAACTTTTCAACTATTCTAAAAAGTGCTTTTTTAAAGTAATAATTAAAGAGACTTTTTTTCAAACAACAAATATGACCATGTACTGGGAAAAACCCAGATTAACACTCTGACAATAATATAGGATCCATATGCAATAAAAAATTTGTAATGACAGTATCTTCACCGTTTTTAAAAATTCAAAGCAAATAAAAATAATACACTAAACAGTTTATGTTTATGTTCTGTATATATGGAGAAATTATAAAAATTAAAAGGTTACAAAATAAAATGAAATGCGATTTTAATTAAGAAAATATTCATGCCTGCCTAGAGCAATGCTAAAAATTCTGAATAAAACATGGCTCCTGTAATTGGACCAAGTTCATTTCTTATGAAGTTGTTCTAATTCTGAAGCCGCATATGTGCAAGAGCCTGGATGTGGGAGGCAAGGGTTGCCATGGTGAGCACACATCTTTTAGAGAAGTTAAATTAAAAGGAAATGTGCATAAAGTCCTCTCAGCTCACGGTATATTCTGGAAATCAAGGACGCTTTTTCTCCCATGACATCTTGGTGTGGTGGAAGGGTATTGGCAGGGTGGGACATAGACAGCTCAAATTTTAAAGCCTTTAACTTCTTAAGGTGACTTGGAAGTAAGAGCTCTCCAAATTAGGTAGCTGTCTTAACTGTTGGGTAGGGAACCAGCTCTACTTACATTAAAGTAATACATTATCAGAGTTCTGGACACTTCGCAAGTCCGAGGCACCTGAGTGATTCAAATACAGATATTGCTAAGTACACCCTAAGTTAGTCTCAGATAGTTAGGGAAAAATAAGATCACTGTTCCCACTGTGATGAGTAATTTAAGGAAGCCTGGCAAACTGCTCCACATTCATTTCCAGCAAGATCTCCAGGTAGTTTCCCCGACCCCCCAACATGGGAGTGCTCGAACCAAAGACAGCTCCATGTGTTTCCTAAAGGCAGCAGCTTGAGGCTCCAGAGCACCCACGTGCGCCTGAGCAGGGGCTGAAGAACTTTCCCCAACGCCCTCAGAGAGAATGCATCATTTCAAAGTAGGAGCGAGCTGGGACCAGGTGTAGGGGTGTAGGGTAGGTTGTAACAAAGAAATGTCAGAGGTTGCTAGCTAAGAGCCATTCAGGCTATGTTTCTTTTCGTTTTCTTTCTTCTCTGGTCAACTTTATTAAAAATAAAGGGGAACTTCGCCAAGTGGGATATTGAGCTTCTAATAGGCTCAGCCTGGAACAAAGAAAATCTACTTCCTAATACTGTTTCTCTTGCGTTGGAGGGATCACGTGTTCACTTTCGCTGGTACGCACTCTGCTCGCCCACGCGATGAAACCTCTATTGTGCTTAGAAATTTTGCCCAGGTTAAAATATGCCCAAACACAAATTGCTTCTCATCCATCAGCAGAAACACATCTAGAGACTCCTGTGCACATGCTCTCCTGCTGACCCAATTACCACTGCAGGTAATTCCGATGTGCTGAAGTGTACTGGGAAAGTAATGGCAAAGAGCAGGTGGAGGCTCGCTGCTGCCTTGATTCCCACCCACCCCCTCCTGCTTTCTGAGATTCCTTTTGATGGAGAACTTGGAAAGGAACGTGGGAGTCGCAGATGGTTCCTTCCTGAGGCCGATTCCCAGGAGTTGTGAAAGTAACCCCTTCCCTGCCGAGTGAGGTGCCACTTGCTTTGTGCCTTGGTGGGGAGGGGCAACCAGCAAAGAGAGAGAGGGCGGAGGCAGGTCTTTTCTGCCCCCCAACCCTGATGGCCAAGTAGTGTAATGAAGCAATTTTGTAGCCATCTCGCTTATGAAGTCACTGTTTTTAAAGACAATCTGTGCAGCCTGCACCCCCATCCCGCCCCCATCTTGACTCTAAAATTGGTGATACAGGAGATCTATGGTAGCCCAGCTAATTGTTGGCGAGCTAGGGTGCCACGGTTACCCAATGTTGGCGGTCTTTCCTCCCTTCCTAAAACAATCTGAAGCGCGTCCTGAATCCCTAAAGACTCCAGAGGATGCCCAGGGACAGTCGCACTGGACCAGGAGCAGTGAGGTTCCCTAGCTTCTACCGCGGAACACAAAGGAGTTGCCTGGTTTAGGGAGACGGGGGCATCTTCCCCGACTCAAATGAAAGCATTCGCCCCATTGCTCCCCACTTCTTTCTTTCCTTTAGTCTTTCATGCTCTCCCATCCCCTTCATGTTTCCAAACCGCACCCTTTTCTTTCCATCCTCTATAACATGCACCCCCAATAATTCCTTTATAGATACTAAGACAATGATACAACACCTTCCAAGATAAAGCACAAGTGTGAGCTGCCACAAGTGTGTGTATGTGTGTGTGTGGAGATCACACTCGCTCCATCCCTCACACACCTCCGGGGAAAGAAGACTGGAAACCCCGGGACAATAAAAATCGAGAAAGCCAAATCTTGCTGGACTCCGCGGTCCCAGCACCAATGCCTCATATTCGCCCCTCACCTTTCCTTTTCGCAATATGTAACCCTTTAGGGTCCCTTGCCCATCCAAAGCGCCCTGCTCCCAATCACTCAACCACCTAGCGCCGGGTTCCCACAGCCCCGCAACCGCCCCAGCGCCGAGGCTTGCCGGCCACCTGAGCCTCCCAGATACCCGCTCGTCGACCGCAGGCAGAGGTCCCCTAGTGCCCTACTCACATCGCCTGAGGCAGAAACTACCCATGAGGGTCCAGGGAGTGAAGGCCTTCCAGCTGCCGAGGGTTACTCCTTAAAGTGCTCTGGGGTCCGCAGTGAAGCCGGTACGGGAGTCCTCCAAAGCAAAGGCAGAGGGGACTCCGGGCAGGTGCCGCGTCAGACCATGATGCCACTGCCCTTCAGGTACACAGCTGGAGATGTGCCAGGGGGGAGCCGGGAGACCGCCGGGAACACCAGCGCGGCCAGTCCCCGGCCTCCGCCCGCCCAGCGCGTCGCGCTAGCGACCGTAGCAGCAGCAGTGGCGGCGGCGGCGGAGGCGCAGCTCCCTCCCCGCCCCCAGAAGGCTCCACAGACAATAAATCCTGGGCGGAGAAGAGAACGGCAGCGCGGGCGAATCGTGTACCCAACTCGGCTTCTGTCCGGGCCGGCCACGACGACTCTGAAGGGGCGAGGGTCCCCGTGGCCCGTGGCACAGCAAGCACTGCCTGTGGTTGTGCGCTCCCGCAGTTGTGGGTGGCGGCGGGGGCCCGGGGTGGGCAGCTGCAGGTCGTGCTGGCCCAGAGACTGGGTGGCCGTGGCTCGGAGCCCACGGTTGGCCCGGAGCGGGGTCCTCCGCGGTGCCGCGGCTTGGTGCACAGGTGCCAGGATTGGCAGACGAGGCGCTGCTCCTGGCTCGCGCCCGTGACTCCACAATCTCCCCGCCCCCTCTCTTTCCTCCCACCCCCCTTTCCGACGACACCAGCTGCAGCTGCTTCAAAGTGTGAAAAATGTCAAGGAGATTTTTCCTGGGCTCAGAGAAGATGACCACCTTCCCAGACCTCAGCCATTCTTGGACATCCTCGCTTGCCCCTCATGACCTCTACTTGGACTCCCTGCAATTTGGAGGAACAAAATCCCAGTCTTGGAGAAATGAGATGTTCTAGCTTTCTCTTTATCACCGGAGCTTTTAGACAAGTGACCAAGCTCTCCAGGTTCCTCGGGTTGTCTGGAGTGCACAAAGCAGGTGTTAGCAGGCTCTGCATGGGGCAGCGCGGGCTCCTTGGGGTGTTCTCCCACCGGCCCCAGGCGCTCCTGCCGGCCGCACAGCGTGCTCTGCAGCGCCAGAAACCCGCCAGCAGCAGCAGCAGCTCCAGGCCTGCGCGCCGGGTGCTCCCGCGCCAGTTCCGTGACGCTGCGCGTGGCTCCGCAGGCTGCCGCTCCTGCTATCTCAGCAAAGAGGCGGCCCGGAGCGCCTCCTCGGGGTTTCCTCTCTGCCCGCCTTGCCCGCTGCAGGTTGCAGGGTGTCCAAGAAAAAGGTCTCTGCTTGTGCGTGCAGTGGCTTGTTTAGCAGTGTCATTGAGACTTAAGGGCATCTTTCAAGACCCCTTCTCTTCATTTTGGTCTAGGATTACTGCTCTGGCAATGTGCAAAAAATGAGAAGGGTTTCCCAACTTCCTTTTATCTAATCGCAACCCTGCTCTTTCTGTCCTGAACTCAGGAACATTCGCCCACACACACATTCACAGGAACGCATACACAGGAACACATGTATGGACAAAAAGATATAAAAAGCATACTGATGAAACTTAGGCTATATTTAGACTTCTGTTCTCTAGACACAGCCAAATTCCTTCTATCCCAGGATTCTCCTGCGATTTAGAGGCCGTAGGAGCCTTTCCCTTCTTTCTCAAAGGCTAGTAGACTGTGTGACATTCAAATGTCACTCAAAGCTACATGTATGTGAGCTCCCAGTTTACTGAAAAGTGAAAGTGCTGGCATGTTCCTTAGATCTAGAACACTAAACGTCTTCAAGGTTGAAAGGCCGTTTTCCTGACTGCAAGGGCTTGTCTAGAAAGAGACTGGGGGCTGGGATTTTATCTGCAGTCATAGGGACGATTACTGCTTTATCTGGGCACCTGTTAGATAGGTGGGTGGATTTTTAGGGAGACTTCCCTTCATTTACATACATAAGGGAAAGGGAGTGCATTTGGGAATACAAGATGATTGTAAAAAAAAAAGCATCGTGAAACACTGTGAAACTTGGTCTGAAAATGGCAAAGAAATGAGAAAAATGTTGAAAGGGCACTTTTTAAAAAACTGACCTTTGTTGAACTGTTTTTTTTTTAATTTTTTTTTTTTGCCCAGTTTCGTTCTGTGAACATCTTGCTATAAGTTTCAGTGTCTCAGCTGGAGGAGGTGCTATGAAAATTTTTAGATAGGAATTGGAAATCTATTAAAAATAGCTCATCACAGCGTCTGCCCCATTACAAAAACCCTTTGCAAAGTTCCAGTTCTTTTCCGTAGTGCTTACACTATTCCTTCTCACAAGGTATTCCGCATAGTTCTTTTGTAAAGCCCTATGTTGAGCCTGCCCCTATGAAAAAGACATAAAAAGCTTATGAGAGCGATGTCCCTTTTGTCCTGCATCAGAACTCAGAATTTCTAATTTTAGCTTCATCATCCACTAGTGCATGGAAACATTTCAAAGCCATACTATGCAGCATCACAGCTGGTTATGAGTAACCTCGGGCCTTCATAGACAAAAGGAAGTCCTCCCATGAGGTGGGAGACTGTGTTTTTCTTTCCAATGGGAGAAAGAGCTTACAGCACCCCAAACTAAAACTCAACACCACTGAATAGTGTATTTTAAGCCGCAACTCTTCTTTCCCATTTTCCTTTATTTTATAATCTCATTTTGGGCCATAAGCATCCAGACAGACAGGAGATGTTCCTGGTGGAATGTAAGTAGAGCATCATAAACGGGAGAGAAGAGACAATCCCTCCAGGGTACCACTTTGAATACAATGCACCAGGGTCCCTCCTTTCCCCCCAAATTTAGGAATCTTGAAGGAAACTAGGCCACATTTAGTATTCATACAATGAGGTCTATTGGTGATTTCAGTGGTCTCACAGAATCATGGAACTATTGAAATGCAAATGCTCTTCTGTCTTTAAACTCCAGCTTTTCCTGTCACCAACCCTACTTCTAACCACATGCAGACAACTTGCTGAAAACCTCATGCAGATGTCTGTCCGACGCCAAAGCAACCACAGCTTACAAAGTTAGACTACATAGTTTTAAGACTTGCTCTTTAGTGTGCATCCTCACATGGTTAGACATTAAGCTATAAAATTCTATGAGGTGTTAATCAGTTCTTTGACTCATACTATTAAAATCATTGAAATGATGAACTGCTCTTGGGATGAGCAGGTCTAACGTTATTTGAAAGTAAAAGACATGATGATGTTAAATTCTCAGGTGTCCAAAACCTTGCTAATAGTCTCTTTTTTTTTTTTTTTTTTTTTTGGTTTTTCGAGACAGGGTTTCTCTGTGGCTTTGGAGCCTGTCCTGGAACTAGCTCTGTAGACACCAGGCTGGTCTCGAACTCACAGAGATCTGCCTGCCTCTGCCTCCCGAGTGCTGGGATAATAGTCTCTTTTGATATCTGCCATGTCTTCAAAGACATCCTCTTTGGGGGTATTCCCAATTGAGGTACAACCACAGACAGGACAATGTTTTAAGTTTAAGAATTGTTAATACCCTGAAGAGATTTGGTTAGATATTAGTAATTGGGATAAGAGAAAACTTTTTGACTTGGGATTCAGGGAGATACAGGTGTGATAGCATCAGAACTGGTGGGATTTGACACCAGATCAGCATTGTCATGGTTAGCTGCTGGAAGACAGGGAGAAATGGCCATGAATCATTCAGACTCTTCTTCAGTTAAATTTGTTAGATGGTCTTTGCTGTGAGACTTCTCTCTTGCACTGCAATCTGTTCTCACAAAAGAGAATCTTATTCTCTTAAATTCATTTGTCTACTTTTTAAATTTAGGTATCATTTCTAAAGATACTAAACTGTCTATAATGGGACAAAGACTGTTGGATCTTAGTGGAGAAGTCAATATAACCTGTTAAGAGAATAGATGGTCACAAAGTGGAGGTCGTAAGCACAAGAAAAGACTGCCCATTAAGAAGCAACCCCCAAATGCCCTAGAAAAAAATGAAGTGCAGAAGAAACAAAGAACTGAAAGGCAGATGTGTAAATCACAAGACAAAAATGGAAGCTATGGAAAAATGAATGTGCCTCCCCCACCGATCTCACACCCGAATAACTGCACAAATGATCAAGAAATATCTGGATGCTGGGTAAGGAATTCAAAATTCCACTTTAAAGAATGTCTAGTGACTTCAACGAGGATTCAAATAAGCAGATGAACGAAGCAAAGACACAAATTCAGGATCTAGATAAATGAATCAAAAAGCAACGTGAAAGAAATGTCCAGCGCTACTGCCAAACTTTGTATAATGAAAATTCAGCAAGGAAATTGGTTTCTTGTAAGATAAACAATAAATGCTGGAAATGAATGGGTCTGATGAAAACACAGGAGAAAACATTACCAATAGACCAGAAGTAGAAAGGGTATCAGGCATACAAGAGAAGAGTGACTACAGATTCCATTCAGATAGGGTAAAGAACATGAAGCTATATATGACCAGGATTTTAAAAATACTGAAACATTTTAAAAAGACTAAACCCAAGAATCCATGTGGTAGGAGAAGGGACCAAGACAAAAACTACTGGGTTAAATAAATTATTTAGTGAAATTATAGCAGAAAATTTCCCAAGTCCTGGGGATGATATGGTCATGCAAGTGCAGGGTGCATTTAGAATCTAAAATAGAAATGTCAAGAGCCTCTCTGTGTCACATTATATACACAGAGAAGTAGCAAGAAAAAACACAAATTTACTTTCAAAGGAAAACCTATCAGAATAACACCAGACATCTTGCAGAAACTTTAAAAGACACATAACGTAGAATGATATATTTCAGTCCTGAAGATAGATAACTGCCAGCCAAGGTCATCAGATCCAAGAAGTTTTCTATAGAGAAGAAAGAAAGTGAGGGCAAGTAGTATTCAAACTAACCAGGAAAATAATGAAAAAAATTTATAGGAACCACTAAATATCCCAATGATAACCCAAATGTTAGTGTTTTTGACTCTTCAGTCATAAAATATAAAATAGATAATTTGATCAAGACACAAATCCCAACCCTTGTGTATGTAAGAAGCTATCCTCACTGGCAAAGATTGATTGAAAGTCAGGAGGTGGAAAACCATATACCACACAAGTGGAATCGGGAAACGAGCAGGAATACTGTTCACGTATTTGGAAAAACAAACTTCAAATAAAAAGTAATTAGAGCATATAAACAAGGTCATTACTTATTACTAAAGAAAAGAATTCGTTAAGAAGTTAGAACAATGAGGAATATATGTGAATATATGTATGCACTAAATGTGTTGGTACATAATTTTGTAAAATAAGCCTCAAAAGTAAAAGAAAAGATTGAACTGTATAAAAGCAGTGGCAGACCTTAACACTTTATTATCATCAATAAATATATCATCTTGATAAAAAATTACTGATAAACTATAGATTTAAACTATATTATCTCAAGTTATTGAACCCAGTAGCTACAAAATATACATAAGAAGTCTATGGAACATTCCTCAAAACAGAATGCAAGGCCACAAAACAAGACTTAAGTCTTAAGGAATGAAAAATAAATTGATAATTAATTTTATTAATAATTTTAAATTAATAAAAATAATTAATTTTAATTTCTTAAAAATAAATTAGATTATTTGCCCTAACTTTCTAGGTCATAGTGGAATAACACTAAAGATCAATAGCAAAATAAGCTGTACAAACTGTAATAACAAATAAATATTAAACAACAGACTTGTCCTGTTCTGTTTTCTATTGCTTTAATAAATGCCATGACAAAAAGCAAATTCTGGGAAAAGCCTTTGCTTCCTCTGATACTTAACACTTTATCATGAAGTCAAGTTAGAGCAGAAACCAAGGAAGAAACCTGAAGGCAAGGATAAAATCAGAGACCCAAAGGAATCCTGCTTAATGACTTGTCCCCACCATGGTTTGCTGGGTTTGCATTACTGACACCCTGGACCACCTACCCAAAGGAGACTCTGCCCATAGTGGGCTGGCTCCTTTCATATCAATCATTGTTCAAGAAAATGGCCCACAAAATTGCCTCCAATTCAATCTGATAGAGGCATTTCCTCCACTAAGTTTCTCTTTTCCAAAATGTCTATAGTT